GTAAAGATTATCTGTTGTTAACTCACCAATACATGCTACAGTTATTTTCATTTCCACATTTTGTCTCTGTATTCCAGAGCGCATTAAACATGACTCCAGAGTCATATTTAAACTGCAAAATGTAATTCTGTCAACAATGATGCATTAAAACATGGAAATGAAACACAGCATATGGAATTTTAATTAGAATAGATGCTGTAGCCTCTGTAGATGATGATTATATGGGAAAAGAAACAGCAATTCACTTTGTTATTTCTGTTGAATGCTTCTGCTTTGAACATCCAAATTCATCAAACACACAAACAGACGCAAACACATTGGCACAATTCCTCAGAGAACGAAGGGATAAAGCAATATATAAATAGACTTTCTCAGTGCCTTTTTGGCCACCCTGTCGAAATCTACTTATATAAGGCCTTTACTCATCTTTTCTTGTCAGCTGATTGGTCATGAACATAACATAAAAAACAAAACTATGGTACTGTGGTAAAAACCTACAAGAATCCCCCCAAAACACACAACAGGATTGCCTCATTCCTTTTTGAAGCCAATTTTTATATATTTAATCTGCTGCAAGTTATTTTTGACCAATGTAAAATGTAAAGAAAATGTAAAATTCAAGCAGTCCGTACTGTTACCACTATAATAAGTAACTTTAGGGCCTGCACAAGAGACTATATTAGTTTAAACCAGTGTTGCTACTGTAACACACTGAACTTCAAAGACTGAATGAAAACACTGTGCATAAACAAATCAGCGTGTGTATATTACAATGTATTTATGTGTGTATATAATTGTTTACACATGCGATTTAACACACTTAAATGTATTACAGGTGCACCTTTTTGCAAATCTCACCTGTCCAGCCACGCCAGAAGGCTTTTAGCCGCAGCGATCAGGTCCACCACGGAGGTAAGAAAGTCATTGGGCAGCTTGCGAGTGGCTCGGCCGTCGTAATGGCCACTGCGCCGCCTGCCTGTGATGAAGTTCTGCAGGTTCTTGGCAGACGCATTGAGCTTATGAGAAAGAGTCTTCAGATTCTCAGTCTCCAGCCCATAATTCTAGAGGAGAGAGGAGAGTAAATTTGCTCTGTTTTATCAGTTTGTCAGTGTTTGTTTTAAGTGCGATGCATTCCAAGAATTTCTCCAGCGTGGAGACTGAAACCAATTGTTGTCGCCACACTGCTCTGTGAACAAAAAGACCACTGGCAGAGGAGTCCACCCTGTCACACTACAGAAGATGCTGCTCATATGAAAAACATGTGAGGAACGAAACCACTGACCCATCCCCTCCAGCTGTCACTTTGCATGTCTAGGGACAGCAGAACACTCATTACCCTGAATGGCGAACTGCACGTGCAGGCCTGTGGGCGTCTGTCACGTCAGAGTTTCTTGGGAGGGGAGAGCGCGGCAGGAGGGCCACTAATCATATTTAATACAGCAGTGCCTGAGAGACTTAAAACTAAATCCCAGTTACGTAAAGAGCTTTGGGGCTGAAGCATGGCCCCCCGTGCAGCGATGCAGGATGAGAGGACTTTAGATTCAGATTGCATCTGTGACCTCAGTCCACTAAATCTCCATCCAAGCCTCTCTATGTGTGTCTTGTGCTAACACATCTTCATCTCTATTCCACCATCTCTCCTTTTACTCCTACTTCTCATTTATCCTCTACCACTTTCTCCTTTTATATTTGACACCAACACAGATATACATTTTGGGATAAGAGCAGCAAATTGGTTATAAATGCTCAGTACTGATAAAGACAATCAATATATTTTTTTCTGGTATAACCATTTCAAAAAATATTCCTCAAATATGATTAACATTACATTAACATAGAAATTTAATTTAATTGCACCGCGAAGAATAAAACTCAGCACATGGTAGCTACCGTAGGTACTAGCAGGTAGATGCTGAACAGCTGAAAAAATGAATGTCAAATATTGTCTGTTTTCAGCTTCTCTCATTTGAGTATTTGCTGCTTTTCTCTGTTTTATATCGTGAACAAATAATTTGAAGAAGTCAGTTTAAGCTCTGTTAAATTGTAACATTTCCCCCTATTTTTTTGTTTTGTAATTAAAAAATGTATAAAATAATCTGCAGATTAGATGATAATGAAAATAATTGTTAGTTGTAGCCCTAATTAGATAATAACATATGAATTTTAAACAGTTAGCAGATGCCTAAATCAACTAACAAAGATCCCAAACTATAACACACCAATGAATAACTGGAAAAACAATTAAAGTATTCTAGAGTTAAGATTTTTTCCAGTACTGTAAATATAGGCATAAAAAAAATTCTGTAGAATTTTCTTCCTATAGACTTTACTAAAAAAATCTTTGACTAAACTGAGTGTGTTACATTCCTCTATCAGAAACTACAGGGTTTCACACTGGAAGAAGAGACTCTCCTGAACAGGAATTTACATTGTCACTGGTTTCTCTTATGTCGCTGTGATCCTGCTGACCTGAAAGTAACGCAGGTCTGTGGTTGCTGCAGGGACACGTTGAGTGAGTGTCACAAGCCGTGTAAATATCAAGCTTTCAGTGTTCCAGCAGCACATCAGCCCATCAGCAGAGCAGCAGTCTACCATGCTGACACACACAAAACTTGTGTTCCTGAGACTAAGAGCAGAAATCACTTGAAGAGGAGGCTGTAATCCATGTTAGCACTGATGACAAGATTTGCCTGCAGAGCATATTTTGGTCAGATTATTAACTGGCATCACTTCTCTCATTATTTACTGATCTTGCAGGGTCACACAGGGCTGATTGTGATTCTCAGTATTTACAGACCAAAGACAAATAGACTGATAATAAAATCCAATCTGAGATAATGTTCTCACATTTGATCTTATCTGCAGAGTCTTTAGTTTTAAAAACATCTTATTTCAACTGTAGCTGAATGAGGTGAAGCTTTAGACTGTATATCTAAACAAGTTGTGAAGGTTTTTCCAGCCTAATTACGTGTATTTCCTATAAGCACAGACTGTTGTAATTTATAAAACTAGGAAATCTGCATAATCAGAATTAATTTATTCTCATATCAGTGATATGCTGATCCTAAGTATAGGGGGACCAAGATTTGCTGTGAAAACTTTTTTTTTTATGATTTAAATTAAAGTATTTTCCCTGCTGTGTTTGAAGGCCTAATTTGTAAGAATATTCTGTTTCTTTTGACAAAACATCAAAATTAGTTTCTCAGGACTAAAAAAAACAACCTTATTTTCTAGAGACACCACATTTTTGGGGTTAATCCAGCAAATTTTTAAAGTACTTGATAAGATGAGGAGGCACATAACTTCATCCAACAGCAGGGGTTTGAGTGACAGTACAGAGTAGTGGGAAGACAGCGTGGGAAACGTGGACTCACCAGAGCACAGAGTAAGTCCACAGCCTCCAGTATGAGCTCTTGGTGGCCAATTCTGGACACTCCCAAATCCTCCAGCTCCTGGTGGGTGATACGCAGCAGCTGGTCCCCCCCTACTTTCTCCCTCTCGAAGGTCTTGATGTACTGCTGCAGGCAGTCGTCCAGGCCTGAGGGAACCACACAAGACGACGGGAAAACTTTCAGTACAGCTCAACAAAGTGAAAATGTTTGCTGGCGGTATCAGATTTCTTGTGAAAACCTCCATTTGCATAATGTGTTCTAATAGGGCTTTTCTTGCCAAAATATGTGCTGTAAATTTCTAAAGCATGAGCCCAGGTTGTATTTTGTTATGTCCAAAGTGTGAAACAGTCCGTGTCAGACAAGAAATCTGACAGATTCCCCCTCATCAACAGTCCTGAGGTGCATTTTCGGCTTTAAACTAGAACAAGCTTTGAACTAAAAAGGGGTTGTGTGTCTCTGCTCAGCTTGTTTTACATCTTTCACTACTGCAGCAGGTGTGAAGTCCTTTAGTGAAGCAGTCGATGAAGTACAGCAGACTATAACTGAATGATTCTGCATCTTCTGTCTGCATCAACGGTTTTTACCTTATCAGCCAAGGTTCAAAACTGGAAACTGGGCCAACGCAGACACCATACAGCATATAAAATCAGGACATTTTACAAAGCAATCCAATCTAATATAACAGTACCACAAAAGATACTTTAGAATGACCACAGTCCTAATTGAACCCTTCACTGAGACAAAAGTCAACAAAAATTGCTTGTAATCTGCACACAGGTGGTTTTTATTTTATCAGCATTGTACTGGACTCATACACTGTATAAATAATGGTGTTAATGATATTGTGTTCACCCTGTATACTGGATGCACAATGTTACAGATACCTAATGGCAAATTCATTTATTCACTGTCATATCAAGCCGATCAGTTTCTTGAAAAAAACAAAAATTGTGAAAAATGTCCATCATAATTTCATAAAGCCCAAAGTGCGTATTCAGTTCTTTGGTATATCTGACCTACATTGACATTGACCCCGAAGATATTTATTTTACTATAGGAGGCTTAGAAAACAAGCAAATATTGACATTTGAGAGGCTGTAGGCAGTACATTTTAGCCATTTTTGCTTAAAAAATGACATAAACAATTAATCGATTATTATAATAGTTAAAGCTGCAGTATATAACTTTTATAAAAAGGTCTTAGAAAGATAGTTGACTGCTGAGGTCCCAAAGTGTCAGTATTTGACAGCTTGGGAATGGGACTCGCGGTGGATTGTTGCCAATGCCATCAGGAGCACTATAGCAATGTATATATATATATATGCTTTAAGCCAATACATTTTATGTTGATCAACTACAACTACTGGATTAATTGTCAAGTATATATATATACACATATATATGCTTTACAGTGTCATTTAAAATGTGTCATTATAACAGGCTGTCCTTTTGGAGACAGAGAGAGAAGCCTTTGTAAGGCTTTTTCTATAAACTCGGTCTGTTTCCATCTTCTCAGTGAGAGAGGGACACACACACATACACACACACGCACACACATACACACTGACAACTCTTCGCTCATCTCGTCTTTTCATCGCTGCGGACCAATCATGTACATGTGACTGAGTGCTGTGCCTAAACCTGATCAAGCATTCAGACCGGGTTTAGCTGGCAGCTAAACGGTGGAGAGGAAACATAGGGAGTTTCATGGTTTTGCATAAAATTTAAAGGCTTAACTAATCAGCCTCTTTACCAAGTTAATTGAGACTCATTATGTCAATGAAGTATTCCCCATGTTGCTATAGAAACCATGAAGCAGGGTTTTGGCCGGGATTCTCCCTGACCACAGCAGGAGCAAATAAAGAAATAAGTGAAGAGAGGACATGATGCTTTTTAAAGACCGGCAACATGGGAGCATGACACATCGAGCAAACATAGCTATCTGCTGATTCTATTAGCACTAATTAAAAACCTCCCAAAGGATGTTATATTTTTAAATAATATTGTAGAGCATCATATAGCACTATTTTGACGGTGATGTATAGACTCACATCAAACATACTGTTTCTGAATGCTACAGAAACTGAAATGCCATATCTTATTTTACACTTCTGGCTGTAGCACCACGTAATTGAAAGCCCCTCTGGATACTTCACTGATTGAGTCTCAACTACATCAATTTTCCTGTCCGTTTTACGCACGGGTCAGATTATCAGGCACACTGAGGAGAAATTAAAAGCACAGCACTGACACATCCTGATCTACATTCTAGATAATCCGCTGGTAATTTGAGGTATTTAATGCTGTTAACATTGTGATCATGGATTTATATTAATCCGACTTGTCATTGATCACTGTCAGTGTATGTGTGTGTACACAGACAAGAAAGACTGACAGAGCAGCAGAACAAAGATGAAACTGATATACTTCACAAAACATGAATTATGTTAATGCACACTGTCGGGAAGAGATTATACTAAGCTTGCATTAGATCTGTGCCTCACATACAATTCATAAACACAACTCTGAAAATACGCCTATCATATGTGTTTGCACAGCTATCGTGCACTCAGTCAAAGCTGGAATTCTTTTCTCTTTTGTGACGAGAATCTCGCCTTTAAAGCGGCTTTGTCGCAGCTGGGAATAGAGCGTCTTGCTCACACAAAACACTAACAGGGGGGTGGAGAGAGGGATTGTGGGAAGGTCACAGGGTGCCCCTATTTGGCCTCCAGTGACATCACGGAGCGGTACGCTAATAATGGAACCTGTGAATGCTAACAACAAAACACTGCCAGTCCTCAGGAGCTGAGAATGGATGTGAGACAAGGATGAAACCCCCGCTCTCTCTCACTGTCTCTCAGTGTCTCTCGCTCTCTCTCTGTCCCTCACTTTAAATTACCATTACTGGGCTCTGGGCACAGAATCGTCTCTGCTCCACTTGTCAGATGTGGGACACTGAAGAACCCTCTCTCATATCTCCGCTTCCTGCTCCTTACATTTATCACTTGTGCTGCCAGCTTATTTACAGGTCATCTTAGATCTCATGTGAACTGCTGTGGTCACTCTGTCTTTGCCCTTCTACACATCCTACCATCCCATTGTGTCCCCTTGGTCTGTATAAATCCTCCACGAGGCTAAAGACTTGCCCTTTGTGTCTTTACTGAGCCAGAATACCCACAAAACACCCTGTTTAAAAGACAGCATCAGACTCAGGTACAATTTGTGACACACAACTCATAGTAAGAGAGGTCTGATCTTTGCAATCATAATATGTCTGAGCCAGCAGAAAAAGGCCTTCAGGCTTAGAATTATGACTAAGGCTGTGTGTGTGTGTGTGTGTGTGTGTGTGTGTGTGTGTTGAGGCAGTAAGGATGTATGTGTATGTTTCACCCAGAGCGTCTCTGAAGGGCTGTGGCCTGACACGTGAGCACGTGGCTCTGCAAAACAACACACAATACTGAAACAATTACTGTACTAACAGATAAATCCACATGTGTAACATCTCCACTCACATTTTGTGCATATTGGATATTAAGAGTAATCACTTTGTAATGCAAACAGACACAATAAAGCAGCATATATAATAAGTTATCTGTGCCCTGATAGGCTTGTGTAAGGCCCTTCATAAGTCTTGAGCAGACAGTTTTCCCTCTGAGGAACAACAAATCTTATCCATGATTAATTAATTGTAACAACTGCATGTTAATCTCTCCAACTTAAATTGAATGTCCAGACCTCCAGTAATTACAGTTTGGAGTGCTTCATCACAAAACCGGATCTATGTGTGCATCTGAGTCTCATTTGTCTGCTGCATGTTTCTTACATTTGAAGCGATGTTGTGATTTACACTGAAACGCTCTAAACATGTCTAACTTGAAGCCAGCGCCAATATGCTCTCAAACACTAATGGATGCGCATCACTTTGGGTTTCAGTGCACTGCGAGGTGTTGAAACTATTTAAACTCGTCTTTACAGGATGCTTTTCCAAGTCAGCTGTGACTTCTTAATGACTTAGAACATGGATCAACATTTGGCACAGATGGCTGCTCAGGCTCTGATACTGTGGAGCTGTGCACATGTAAAACCCCTGGTCGATAACTTGATCCTTTTTTTTTTTCTTCTTCTTCTTTTTTTACCCCCCTAAAATACAGATTCTGACCCCAGATCCAGTGAGAGGGGTAATTACTGGTGTGTAATTACTGGATCTCCGCTGTGTTTCCCAGCTTCCTGCGAGGCAGCCCCGCGTTAACAATAACCCACCGCGGGACACAATAGAGGTTTTGCACCGTTTTTGTGCCATTTGAATGTGTTAGGCTCCGGAGAACATGTTGGTCTGGAAGGACAAGTCGTCTCCGCGTTGAAACTGCCCGGAAAAAAATCGATCAAACGATTTAAGGCTGTAATTAAAAGCCCTTTTTGAAGGCGAATGCCGATGAGGCAAAAAAAACAACAACCCCGAGGCTCAGCAGGTGTTTTTGTTCTCTTTTGGCATCTCGAGTGGATCTGTGTTGAAATGCGTTTTGGACTCGCAGCGCAGCTCTGTGTTCACTGCAATCTAGCTATAGTTTGGTGATTTCTATTTGGCTCTCATCGTGCCTGAAGCCTTACCTTTCATCCAGTCAACCACCTGACTGGAGCTCCACTTGCTCACAGGCTCCATAACCAGTGCCATGGTAGAAGTTTGTCTCTTGTTCACGCTCGACAAAAGAAAAACACCCCCAACAAACCCCCCCTTTGCACAATTTCAAAAAAATAAAATAAAGAAGAGAAATAAAAAATCTAAAAAAATAAAATAAAATTAAGAGGCTCTCTTAGTTCTTCCCTGCTGGGTTTGGCTGTTTACAAACAAAACGAGGTAGGTCCAAAAGGTCCAAAATGTCGCTTTGAGAAAGCCTGAGCGCAGCCCAGCAGACTTATGCACATTCCTGTGCTGTTTGCTCGCTTCAAAGAGCTCTTTTACTTGTCATTCATGTCAGGCTCAGTGGCGGTGATGCTGGTGGGTCGCTGCTGCCCGACCCCTCTTCCTAAATACATCCCAGTACCATCCAGAGCGGAGCAGAACAACGCACAGACTGTCACTTCGCACTGGTGTCTGGAAAGGTTGGGTTCGCTCTGAGCATCCTCCCTCATACACAGACATGGAGTCATAGCCCTCACCGCGCGAAGTGTGTGTGTGTGTGTGTGTGTGTGTGTATGAGGGGTGGGTAATGCCACAAAGAGACAGCGGGAGTCTGAGCAGGAGATGTGTCTTAATGTGGAGATAAGATTATACTGGATTTTAATGAGAATAAGAGCTTAGTCCGTGAAAAGCTTTGCTGAGTGGCAGCGCTGCAGGTCAACAAGCAGTTAATTAAAAAGCACATTCATAGGAAAGTTTTTTAGATTTGAAGGAAACCAAAATAGTATCAAGTGGTATACTTTTATATGAAGTGGCTCTTGGTTTGAGGGGTCTTCCATGGGCCACATCATTGAGGCTAGGGCCCCTCTGTCACTCATGGCTCTTAGTCCAATCTAAGTTCCACCAAAGATCAAATACTCAAATATGTGTACCTGGAAATTCAGATTGGCCCCTGGGATTCAAGTTAGTGGTTGCGTGTATTTTTAATGTGAAATATGTAACTTTTGATATGTACCAAAGGTAAAGAGATATAATATAATAATATAATATTATAGTATTTTCATGGAGTGGTTTGTCTTTGTCAGCAATCTATTTGTTCCATATAATATTTAGAATAGTCTATAATATTCTTATAATAGTACAATAGTAGCAATATCTTTCTGGACTAATTCATTTAATTTAAGTTCATATAATAATCGTCTTTATAGTTTAATTTAGTTTATTACACCCTGCAATAGTCACATAACAAACATAGCTCATGTGTTGCAGCTTCAAATTGGCTTATTTACAGCATAACAGAAGTTTCTCTAAGATTATCTTCTTGTGATTGTGATTTGTTTACTCATAGGTCTTTCCCAACCCCCACCCCGAATCCATCCTCCTCCATGAAGAAGACCCAACTAACCAGTGGGAGTCCCATGGACACTGTGAATTTACCAAGATGGAAGTGTTTCAGCGACTGCGGGCCCAGGTCTGTGCGGGTGTTGGTGAATGTTAATACATTTTCAATAGATTTCCCTGTTTGTTTTCCTATTGGCAGAAGGTTCCACTTTGTTTCTGCAATCATGAGACTGAGCACTGATGGCAGATTTACGGTCCATTTATTCTCCATACAGCAACAATGTTAATACAGCATAAGCCTCTAATTAATCCATGCAACACAATGGTTACTCTGACAATGAGTCCTTTGCATCTCCTCTAGCCCCCGGGCACTAATCACCCCTCATACCCGCCACTGGTTTCTCCTGCCGCCTTTGTCGCTGCTCACGCCTCCATCACACAAAGCGCAGTGTAGCGGTCACTAACGAGACAAGGATGCTGACATACGCCTCTCTTTTTTTCATGTATTGGTAAACAGCTTCAGGGTCTAAGCCTATATTCACTGCATGGATACTCATTGTACTGCAAATACTACATTTTAAACTGAATGTCATAGAAAAAACAAATAAATAAACACTCTCTGAGCACATGCACACTTGGTTGGTTTCTTATTTGTTATCTTTTAGGAACAGCTTTTGTTTTTTCAAGTAGCTTAACTGTTGTTTTTTAAAATAAGGCATTTTATTTATTGAAATAGCTCATCATTATTCCACAGTATAAATAGGCCTAAATGCTGAAAAATCGCCTAAGAAAAGGATCAAATTGTTTAATTGACATCATTAGATTACATTAAAAATGTAAAGGCTCAAGGGAACAAATCACAGCATGGTGTGAAAAGAAAGAAGAGAAACATGTCTGCAACAAACAACCAATAGAACCATAGTGTCTGACAAGTGCTGCCAAACAAGCAGGCGGGTGGGGCCAGTACAGCAGCACTGACATTCAAGATAATCAATAGCCTAATCATAAATCAATACAGGGATGGTAAAATATCTAGTGTGAAGCTTGATAATGTAACTGGATTTCACCCATTAATGGAAATGAAAATAGCAAGAAATACAAACAAATGTGCAGCTCTTATAAAGACCACCTGCTTTTTTTCCCTTCATATTTTGCTGTAGATACCCAGCCAGAAAGAAAGGAGCATTACGCTGACAATAAATACAAACACTCAAGTTGCAGTTACATTAATATCAGAAATTAAGATGAAAAGATTTGTCTTAAACTCTCCACCATGAGTCAGACAATGTTATAGGAGTGCAGTGCTCAACCAGTGGAGTATGGAAAATTGTTCATTGGTCACTAATTAGGGCTGATTTGGCCATCATCATTAATCTTATTATTTACACCTGTGTTTTTCCTACTGTTAGATGTCGTCATGTATTTCCTGTGAAAAAGGTCTATTGCTGTAGGTCTCATTTTGCTGTGGTATTGTTTCATGTAGTAAACTATTGATGACTCCTTACTTAGTCCTGCATGTAGGTTTTGTTTGTTGAATATTAAAATAATCTGAAACGAGTACAAAAAATAATTATTTACATTAATGAACATGAGTATACGCACTTTTTTATTTTAGTTGGTCCAGACATTTTTCACAGAATAAACGGCATTTTTAAAATTTCCAGTGGTAGAAAGTATATCATATCACATTTACTTAAGTATGTGACTGTTCTTATGTGCAATAATGAGATACTTTAATTTTTTACATCTTGTATCTTACTTCATTCTTAAACTCTACTACTTTTATATTGTATATTGTTATTGTTTTCTCCACTAAATTCAGTTGCAAAACAGTCACTTGCAGTCTAAGATTAGTCAACTCATAAAACATAGTGCCTTGTTATAGATTAAACTACCCAACAGTGTTTAAAGTAAAATGAGCTCCCCTATACAAACCACAACATTAAAAATGCTGTTTATACATTAAGGCACCAGTAATAACAAACAGGCCTACACAATAACATTATTAGTAAATGTTACACTATATTTTCATTTGTACGTAAACTCTTGAATGCAGGACTTTTACTTGTCACTATACATTGCGGTATTTCTACTTTAATTTAAGTAAAGTGAAAGATCAGAGTACTTTTGAGCAGACTGTGTGTTCTTCTCACTTCCGGCCTGTAGGTGGCAGAGCGCGCTCTGTAATGAGTTGCTACTCACGAGCTTGACAACGAAGAAGAAGAAACGTTGGCTTCCTGAATCTAACGTCAACGCTAACGGACGAGGTAACATTTATTTATGCCTTAAATGTAAAAAAAAATGACCCGTAATATGATGTATGCGTTTACATTCATGTTACATTTTGGACTATTACCAAAGCAATGTCATCATTTTACGTAATTTCTTTGGTTTGAGTTTGAGCATTGCGTCATTCTGCTGGCGTGTTCTCGTTCCTAAATTCAAAGTTATGAGCTAACTGACAGTTAACTGACAGCTAACTGTTAGTTAACTGTCAGATAACTGACAGATAACTGTTAGTTAACTGACAGCTAACTGTTAGTTAACTGCTCAGATAAGCTGACAGATAACTGTTAGTAACTGGGACAGGCAACTGTTAGTTAAACTGTCAGATTAACTGGACAGATAACTGTTAGTTAACGGCGTACGAGCTAACGCTGGTTTGATGACTGTCGGCAGGGGTACGTCTTACGGCAGTGAGATGAGGGGGTAACTGCTGTAGAAACCTCTGTCAGGAGTGTAACTGTGTGTTGTGTAGGCACGTAACTTAGTTAACTGTTAAGAAGAAAGCTTGTAGAGGAGCTGTAGACCGCTGTTGTGTAGAATTGGTTCTGTTGCGGGTGAGACTGTGAAGGTATAACTGGTTAGAGGATAGACGTCTAGCATGAAGACTGAGTTAACGAACGAGTACACGTGTAAGAAACTGTGTTAGGCACTGAGAAGCTAGTGTAAGACTGGTCAAAGCGAGTACGAAGCTGGTTAGGATAACTATTAGGGGTTAGACTGTAAGATAACTGTTAGAATAGACTTAGTTACACTGTAACGCATAACTGCTGTAGATAACTTAGTTAACTGTAAGGCATAACTGGTTAGATAAACTGGGTTAGAGTAACTTAGTTTAACTGTTAGTTAACTGTTAGATAACGTTGAACAATAAACGCGTTATAAAACACGTTGAGGAGCCGATGCGGAAGAGAGAAGTTGAAGTGCCATAAGATGTCAAAAGTAGTCCATGTGACATCCGTGACTTAGACTGAACGATAATAGTTGATGTGGGTTAGTGTAAAGAAGAAAGACACACTAAAAACGTGCTTTTACTTTGGCTTTCCAGACCTAAAGTTAGGTGGTGATTACGCTGGTTTCCAGCCTGTGAGTTACAGTTTATGTGTTATCATCTTACAGTTGATTTAGCTATATTTAAGTATGCACACAAGCTGCCCCCCTCCCCCACCTTAACTTTGTGCTTAAAATGAAATAAATGAAGGTTATAACGCCATCACAACATTGTAAATGTTCATCTATCATAAACACTAAAAAAAGAAAAAACAGGCATCTGAGAGTAACTTTTGACTGACTTTACTCTCTACTGTACATCTGTAAAAGGCTAAATGAATGTTTTCTGTGATACGGGCTGAATACGCTTCCAACTGAAGAAACCTGAAAATCTGGTTTGGTGTCATATTCACACCTTGGTGGAGGATTTAAAAGCTGATGTGTTATACGTTTCTCCATGTGTTATTCTGCAGGTACAGACAGGCTACTGTCCTGTGAGCACTGTGTGTGCTTGTCATGTTCGACGATAGCGGACTCTTCATATGACACGATGGACGACACTGAGATCGAGGGGATGGCCACGCCGTCAGGCAGCTCTTCCATTGGGGATGCAGTGTCTGGTAGAGGACAGAGTGCATCTGATGAAGAGGAGGACATCTACTACATCCCAGAGAGAAGACCTTCTCTGGACCTCGGGCCGACTCCAATGGATACTAGCCATTGGTACGGACGCTTTTCACTCACTAGCCCAAAGGGTATTTCTTTAGGCAAGAAGTAAAAGTATGTTGAAAGTGGAAAAATACCAACTAGTCTTGTGCAGTGCAGTACAAAGTGAAATGAGTATCACTTATATGTAACAAGAGTGGGATGGCACGTCAACACTTTCTCCTAGTAGACTGAACTTTACTCTTCTGGCTTCATTTGTGTTCATGTTGAATAACCATGTGTAATAGAGTGTATTACAGTTGTATTTATTCCCCCTTTCATTATCTTTTCTTTCCTTTGGCTTTAAGAGAAAACTTGAAGCAGGCACAAAAATAAAATGTACTGGTGTATCCTTATTGACCTCACTGAAATTCACGTTCAGTCTTAGCAGAACAAAGCCAAGAAAAGTAAAAAGAATAGACTAAATAAAAATACAAAGTTGGGTTGAGTCCACGCTTGTCCATCAATCTTCATAAGTCCTAGTAGTCCCAATACAAATACCCTGGACTTGTTGGATAAAGAGCTCTAAGCTTAAATGGGCTGCTTCACTGCTCTGTACAGTGGCTGCTTGTTATTTGGACACCAAACAATTAACATTCATTCTGCCATCCTTTTTTTTTTCTTTCAGGCATTCTGTGGAGCAGGCCTCACCTCCAGCGCTGAGCTACTGGTCAATGACAAGTGAGGAGCTCTCAAACAGCATGGATGGTGAAGATGGATCCTCCACAAGGTACAAAGTATTATTCAAGCAAAGCTTAAATATCTCTGTAAATGTATGCATTCATTACAGTAAACCCAGGTATTAGGGCTGCTCGATGATGGAAAAAATCATAATCACGATTATTCAAACGATTATTTTTTT